ACTCATAACACACAATTTAGAGAGTACGAGTCACGACGATTTTGTCACGAATTCTCCTGCGATATCTTGCTATTAGTTAGTAATGTAGCGAAATTCAGTCAGATCCGTTCAGAATTGAAGCAATCGTGAGCTGTTTGATTGCGCAAAAGTTTCGTTTTGCGTTTTAATCCGCTGACGAGTTCGCATGTGAGCTCGTATAAGTGCCGTTCCTGAAAGTGAAACTTATGATCTAACCGACCACGTGATATTTCGGCATAAAAGGAAATATAAGTACGCGGTTTTATCATTGCAAGGTGTTTCGTAAATCAGATTCGCATTAACAACTAAACATTTAAAAATATTTAGGTTGTCCACTAGGGATTCAATTTATTAAGACCTTACGTACCTCAAAGCTTTAGATCTTTACCTTTTAAACATTGACATGTGCTTGAGACATGAGGTTGAGAAATCTAAACAAGTTATGAAGAATTGTTATTTGCATTATAGAAGGAAGCTATGGGCTGCCTTTTGGCCAAGAAATCGAGAAATGTGAGCGATGAGGCGGCGAGGATTTTCAGCCGATGGAATGGTGCGCAGAAATAGTACGTAGGTTTGTCATTGCAGGTAAGTAGTAACTCATTATTCTGCAGAGTAAATCCTTTATGGAGCATATTTTTTGAGTGGTAGAGTATTCATTGATGAACTGTAAAACTGCCGTTGTAATCTATTGCAAATAACTAGTTAGCTAGAGTTAATGTCATATCACTGGTCTAGTTAGGATATGATCGACATTCTCTTAACGTATTGCCTTCTTTCCCTTTCATTACTCTATATATCGTTATTAGGTCACTCTTAGGAGCGACGTCAAAAATTTTAGGAAGAGTTTGAGTTAGGCAGATTTTTAACTTATTACAGGACGTTCAGATATTCTTCCGCATAATTTTACGAAAGTTTATTCTGGTAACGATAAATAATTGTAATTCTTTATGTCTGTTGTAACAAACTATTTGAGCATATGATGATCATCAAAATTAAAGAAACATGGTCCCATAAAAATATGGGTAATTTTTCAATTATGTGAATTGTGTTTCAATGGAATACCTAAAATTAATTTAGATACAATGGGGTAACACAAATAAAAATCATCCATACTAAAAAGCGAACAAAGTCTTTTTGAAATATAATTTACAGTAGTTTCATTATTTTTAAATTTGTTTTCTACTTTTTCACTTTTATATTATGAAAAAAATATTTTCCTAACGTGAAGTGGATCATTTAAAATGAAGTGGATATTGTTTTTGCCCAAATAACATAGTTTACCATGAAAAACAATCATATACTTCTATTTTCTGAAGTGATGTAGAAAATCACCCTTCCAACGATAACATAAAAAGAATTAAAGAGAATTGGAGTACATAAGAGCATTTTAAATTCAATTCTTCGATTAACATAACGCCTGTTATTTTAATAACCTAACGAATCTTAACGCTTATTTAAAAGTTCTCCTAGCGAGCGGACTCATTGCTATAACTTCGATCACAGCTCATTCAGAGGCAACCTTATTCAATGAGGAGGCCTTATGCAAACGCATGACAATGATGCTCTAAAGGAGTTATGTACTTGAAAGTAAAGTTGAAAATATAACGAATAATAGATCATTTAAACATGGAATTTTTTGGAATGGATTTGATTTCGCATGGAATAATCAGCGATAGTTCTCGACGAGATTCATGATGGAATCGACGTTATTTTGCCAAGTGTAATGACGATAGATAAGGTGTTCAAGATATCTAAGTCAGCAGAAGATTTCAATTATATAAGTAACTTCTGGGAGAAAATTATCGACGATTTCGGTCCATGAATTTTTTTAATGCAAACCGTTATTTTTTTATTATTTTTTTTTTCAGAGAAGTGCACTTGAGTTAATTCGTTTCTCTGTGCTAGAGTGTTCAAATGAGAAAATGACGTAATACTGGTTTGTTATTCGGAGAATCTCTATAATGATCCTGTATAGACGTGGTATAAAATCATATCTCGCACCACAAATAGACCCAAAATGTTGTATTAAGTCACATGAAAAAATGGTACCAGGATTAGCGTTCAATGAGCGTATTTTATTAAATTGATGGAAATAATGACGCAGAATTGACTCTTATTTTTTCAATTGCTAATGCAAAATCAACTCTCTGAAACATAAATTTTTTTCTTGAAGTGCTAAAATGAATAACCATGTTAAGTTCTAACATCCAATAATATATTATATTATTATTTATTTATGAATATTTACAAGTTTTCATACCTCTCTGTTCATCCACAAACGATTTTCAATGCATTGAATCAGATTGATTGTAATCACTGCTTGTAAAAATTTAATCGTCTGTATAATTACATAAAAAAATATCAAACTATCATTTTTAATCATTTCGATTAGGTCCAGGACGTTTTTTCCTTATTTTCTAAATTCAATTTAATTTCGAAGTTTCCTTACTGGAGAATACCATGCAGAAAATTTAACTAATATTGAACCTCACATTCTCATTAAACTCATTAGTGAGAAAATAGTAAGACATAACAAAACCAATATGGAAGAATTGAACCTATAATTGATATTGGATTTACGTTGGATCAACATATTATGCCGCCGATGACATTTGCCATGAAAATTTGTAGCTTCAGTGCCGGTATGACAATTGTCGGCAAATAACCAGAGAACCTCAGTAATATCGAAGTACATCGACTACACAATTAATTTAAAAGCAAAGAAAACGCCAAGAAAATTCACCATATCGATATTGAAAACGTTTCGGAGTCCAGCTCCATCATCAGTTCGACTAAACTAAAAATGAATAAAATCACTTTAAAAGTCAGTCAGTTTAGTCGAACTGATGATGGAGCTGGACTCCGAAACGTTTTCAATATCGATATGGTGAATTTTCTTGGCGTTTTCTTTGCTTTTAAATTCCTTGTGAACTTGCGATATATGGACTAATGATATAAGTACTTTGACTACACAATTGATTTTGAAGGCAAAGAAATATTTTACTCACATATGACAGTGGGTGCATGTATGCCAACAGCAATAGTGAATAACGATGCTACAAGTTGTGGAACGACGTCTATTAAGCGGCTGTTTTAAGCATGGTATTCACATTCGGATATTTAAAATTTTAGTCCCAAGTGTTTCATTGAAGCAGGACATATGGATTAAGAAATTAGAAAATGAAAATAATGAAAATGAAGCAGGACGGTTGGATTAACAAAAATTGTTTCCAGCAATGCTGGTCTCATTTCACATTGAATGGCTGGTAACGAGGATTAATGCATTCAGCTTATAAAAAATGGCTGTGACATGTATTTGACTGAGCTTAGGAGTTAAAAGGTAGATGAAATTATTCTTAGACAGACAATAAATTGGCACGAATATGTAAGAAAGTGAACCCAGCGCAGAAACAATACGTTTTGTGAGCAAAAAGGCAATACACACTGAAAAATTAAACCAGCGAAATTTCACTCATCATTTAACGTTGATATACTATAGGTACTAAAAAATATTCACTTCGAAAAAATACCATGAAATTATTGTCATTATTACTGGAATTGTATAACATCACTTTATATGCAGTTGCAAATATCTCTGACTTTGTTTAAGTGTGAAAGTAATCTCCAAAGTGAAAAGATGTAAACCCTGTAAACCAAGATACGGCAAATCATGGCGGTTAGCGTAAGCTACGAAAAAGATACGAATACGGCAAAAACGAAAGACGGGCCATAAGTAATTGCAGTCTATGGCAATTTCATTAGTCTCATGATCAAATTGAAGTATTTTGCGTACCAAGAAAGAAATCTCGATTGCACGAGGCTCAGTTATACCTTCTATCTTAGTGATGTGGGCGCTGAAGAATAGGCCTGATGTGGCTTCTAAATTCATAATAAACAATTGCACACATGAATAAAGCACTGCATTTCAAGTTAAATAAGCCACAATGAAAAGTAAATGCTTAATTTAGGTTTTTTACGACGAAATTGGACTACTTTCATAGCAATATCATAATGAAAAATTTTATTACAATTTCACCCACTACGGTAAACCCTCACCTATCGCGAGTGTTACGTTCCAGACCCTGCAGCCGCTGGGTGAAATCAGCAATGTTTCGACTGAAAGAACTCGTGCAAGTATTTTCATAATGTAATTGTTTTACACGTTTTTATTGTTTCTTTCCTATCAGACAGTCAACATCGGGTTATTGCCGTTAGATCCTGCACAGATAACCTCTTGTATACTTTGAATGATTGGACTCGCCTGCTGGACGAAAGGGAGTCAGTGGATGCACTGTACCTCGATTTTGCCAAATTCTAGGAATGCAAGGAAAGTCGTATGCAGAAGAATATGAAGCTTATAAACTTCTGTGATCGATGGTTACGTGGTGACCTCATTGAAGTATACAAAGTACACCATGGTTTATAATTGGTCTCGGAAAGATTCTTAGAATTTGAAATTAGAACCAATGCCAGGGGCCACAGCTATAGAATAAAAAACTGCTTTATAACACATCCATGCAATATCACTTCTCACCTCGAGACCAACATACGGAACAGCCTGCCTGATACTTCTTTGACTCGCCCAACATGAACGCCATCAAGAACAGACGACAAAGCTATGCAGGAGCTTACGTTCGGTGTTGAAATACCTAGCACCTTACAAACCTATTAATTAGTCCAGAAGTTATCGCAAACTAACGTCAGTTATGAAAAGATCTGGTCAAAAGGCCGGTTTCTGAATTTCCTGGTAATCAAATCATGAAAAGTATAACGAATCGGCAACAGGCCATAAATTCAGTCTGCCCAACGTGATTATTAGATTAGAGCTCTCAAGTGTCTGTGTAAATAACCCTAGCATGGTAATGAACTAACTATATATATTACTAAAATTTCGAAATAAATGTCCATCGTCATCCTTGCAGTCACATGCCGTGTTTATTCCACACGCTTGTAAAAGGTACTAATAAAACATGCACAAAAAATCGTATTTAATAACAAATATTAAATAATTTTGTGACAATATTGAGTTTATTCTAAATCCACGAAAACGCGTGTATGGAATACAGAACTAACATATAATTGAATTAGGATATTACCAGAATTAATTATATATAATCATCACAAATTATTCCAATTGATTAACTACGTTCCTCTGGTGAATGAATGCTATCTCTTCGCTTGCATTCGTCTCTCTAGGGCATGAGAATGACAAGGAACTAAAAACATTCACTGCGACAGTGAGTCAAACTGTGACAGCATCTCCAGGCGCTTATGAACACGCATAGGCATGCATAATATTCATGTACATGCATAATATTTATATACATGCATAATGCACGTACACGCGTACAGGCAATTAATGTTACAATAACCACATTAGTGAGATTATCTACAGAACTTTATTAACAGTAAATCGAAGTCCAGTCTGCTCATACCGCACACACGTAATTGAGACTGCGTCGACGAGACGTAAACACATACATGACTCACACTATGAACACAATGCTTCGTCTAGTGTGAATTTCCGCAGTAACTTAATTAAAGACACTTGGATTATAATTAAAGCAACTTGTTTATTTCACTAGATGGATCTGGTTTGGAGTAGAGGGAGAGGCGAGGTGAAGTGGTGAAGGAGGAAGTGTTTAGTTCAGCTCTCCATGGCTTGGGAAGTATGTGGCGGAACATGGGAGAGGATTGAGAGAAATGAGTACTAGTGGACGGGTCGTGTGAGCGAGGTGAAAGACCAGGGGAGTGGGTGGAGGGGCCTGGGGAGTTGGTAGAAGGGTCAGGGGAGTGGATAGAGAGGTCTTGGGAGTGGGCGGAGGAGGGACTGGAGGAGTGGGCTTGAGTGACATGGCGCATGTATGACCCCTCATTGAGGGTTACGTAATTGCACAATGCGCACTTGTACTTGCGCAGCCGCCCCACTCCACCTTGTTCCATGGAGGAGTGTGTGCTCGAGAGCAGTTTACAGGGCTGAGGTCCCCCCTTGCGAAGTTTATGCGCCGCGCGGTGCACACTGAAGTACCGAGCGTTCGCGGTGCTGAATTTACACACGGCGCACTGGAATTTCTTCTGTCCTTGCTCTCTCCCAAGACCTCCTACACGCGTAGGACCTTTCCCCGTTGCAGTTTCATGACTTTTTCTTTTGTGTCTCCGGAACTCTAGCAGGTTGCTGGTTTCGTAAGGACAACGACCACACGAGTATTGTTCGAATCCTAAAGACGCTCTTCTCCTTACATACATCCTCTTCAGTCTCTTCCCGTCATTTGTCTGTCGGTTCTGTTTCTCTATTTGCTCATCCTCCTCCTTGTCTGGTGCCTCCGGTCGGGAGGAAACCGAGTTTCCCCATTTACTCTTTCTCCCAGCCAGCGATGGATGAGCGCTCAGGGTGTGCTGGGAGTAGTGGACTGGGTTCCGCGTCTTGAATGAACACCTCGGACAACAGAGCTCTTGCCGCTGATTAACAGTGGGATCCTCTATGGAGTCATCGACGTCGCTGTCGCTCTCAGGGAGATCCGGAGAATCTAGTTTCTCTAGAGCCTCCCAACTACCTGCTGAGTTTTCGGGAGGACGAACACCCTCGAGCCTGCGGTCGACAGCAAAAACCAAGTCAAAGGGATTCAAATCGTCCGACAAGTCACATTCCTCGAGTTCGTCGAGCAAGTTATTTTCTACGCCGAATATTCCGCCTTCGAAGTCATGCGAGTCACTAACATAGCCAGAAATGCCACTTTTGACATCGAGTAAGTCATTTCCTAAGCCCAGCAAACAACCTTCCCTGACCTGTGGGTAGCTACCGGAAACGGGATTGAAAGATAAAGAAAAGTCACAGCAGTCGGCATCAACCTGCTGGCTTCCGGCAGCATCCTTGAGCGAAGTGAACCACCCACTGATTTGGCCAGCTCCAGCAACTCCCGCACTCGGAGGAAGATCACGATTATCGCTTGCATCTGAATTAAGTTCCTCTTTCAAGGCACCCGGCGATCTAAACGTTTCCATTGCATTCTTATATGTGAGGATTTCGTTCAAGGCGAGAGACATGCCAGAGGGTGCAGAAGCAACTTCACCAGATAGTGCAGTAGCCACTGGGCCAGATGGTGAAGTGGTCACTTGGCCACATGGTGTAGTAGCCACTGGGCCAGATGGTGCAGTAGCCACTGGGCCAGATGGTGTAGTGGTCAGTTGGCCAGATGGTGCAGTAGCCACTGGGCCAGATGGTGCAGTAGCCACTGGGCTAGATGGTGCAGTAGCCACTGGGCCAGATGGTGCAGTGTTCACTTGGCCAGATAGTGCAGTGGTCACTCGGCCAGGTGGTGCAGTAGCCACTGGGCCAGATGTTGCAGTAGCCACTGGGCCAGATGGTGCAGTAGCCACTGGGCCAGATGGTGCAGTAGCCACTGGGCCAGATGGTGCAGTAGCCACTGGGCCATATGATGCAGTAGCCACTGGGCTAGATGGTGCAGTAGCCACTGGGCCAGATGGTGCAGTGTTCACTTGGCCAGATAGTGCAGTGGTCACTTCAGCATATGATGCAGCAACCACTACACCAGACGGTGCAGCAGCCACTTCACCAGATGGTGCAACAGCCACTTTACCAGATGGTGCAGTGGTCACTTCAGCATATGGTGCAGCAGCCACTACACCAGACGGTGCAGCAGCCACTTCACCAGATGGTGCAGCAGCCACTTTTCCAGATGGTGCAGTGGTCACTTCACCAGATGGTGCATCAACATTACAGACAGATGGTGCAATACTAACGCAGCGGTCGTCTTCTAGAGACTCGTAGCCGCAATCTGGGGAAGGCCGCAAAACAGTTGACCTCTGAAGGGACGTAGTTAAAGAAGAGGTCTTGGGTGGGGACTTGTTAATAGTCTTACACGGGGAGGAAGTAGTTGGGGAGGATGTGGAGGATGTGGATGTGGAGGATGTGGTTGGGGAGGATGTGGTTGGGGAGGATGTGGTTGGGGAGGATGTGGATGGGGAGGATGTGGATGGGGAGGATGTGGATGTGGGAGTGGACGTGGTGGGAGTGGACATGGTGGGAGTGGACGTGGTGGGAGTGGACGTGGTGGGAGTGGACGTGGTGGGAGTGAACGCGGTGGGAGTGGACGCGGCGGGAGTGGACGCGGCGGGAGTGGACGCGGTGGGAGTGGACGCGGTGGGAGTGGACGTGGTGGGAGTGGACGTGGTGGGAGTGGACGTGGTGGGAGTGGACGTGGTGGGAGTGGACGGGGTTGGAGTAGACGTGGTGGGAGTGGACGGGGTTGGAAAAATAGATGTAGTGGAAGTAAACGCGGTAAAATTTGTGTAGGAAGTGGACTTAGTGGAACATGTATACGTGACTGAGACGTTGGACATGTTTGAAGCAGTGATCGAAGATTTGGGAAACAAAGATCCATGTTCCCTCACCCAAGATGCATCCCCGTTCTCTTCATCCCCCCAGCACTGGATGCTCTCAGCCAGCTTATGGATGTCACTTTTCAAACTCTCATCCTCACTGCAGTCATCACCACTGAACACATCCAAGGTACCTTCTAACACATCCTTATCATTCCTTAATACTTCGACATCATCTTCGTGACATCCTTCCTCAGCCGGCACAATTTTGCTACAATTTGCACGCGCCTCCATCGCCGGTTGGATATTTTGACTCGCATTTAATCCATTCTGTTTTAAAGGATTAGTTTGTTCGTCTGTGTTCTCACATTCATCAATTAATTGGTTAGGTCCTTTATTATCTTTAAAATCTTCCAACATTTGCTTCCCTTCCTTATCAACCTTAAGATCGCCGAGCAGATGACGTTCTTCACCATTACGATTATCATTTGGAAATGGTTTCGCTTCTTCAACATTTTGATTGTCATTAATCGTTGGCTTCATTATATTTTCAGACAAATCGCCGTCCGGCAAATGCGTAGTCTCAGTATTAGTGGACAGGCCCAGTCTTGCAGACGTCTCGCGGAGCAGACTTCTGCGGAGCAATGTCATCTTAATGCACGCATCGTGAACCTGGGCAGCAATAACGTAGTCCTGCTTGGTGCTGTCAGATGCTAATACCGCATCACATTCCGAGTCGTGTTGCGATGTCAAAAAAGTGTTGGCTGTAAAAGAAGTTCCTGGACCCTTATTTTCTTGCATATGGTTTGAGTCATCAGGCTCATGTGAGAGGCTGCCATGGGTTGTCACACGGTTGTCGGAAGCTTCAGACGATTCCTTGACGGTCGATTTATTAGGCACTAATTCACTGGAATCCTTCTGATTAGGAGATTCGCAGAGATTAAAGTTTGCGGTTCTGCGTTTTTTGGCAGGCCGGTCCAACAAATTGGTTGATGAAGGTCGAATATAGTATTCTTCTCGACAGCTTTTCTCATCATCGTCAGAATCAGATTCTACGTATGACTTTGAGCCGGCAGTTCGTCGTGACGACATTCTACGTTTACGATACAAGGTTAGCTTACGAAGCCTGCTGCTATGCCAATATTCAAACTCTTCATTGCTGGAAGATTCACTGAAGGATGTAGACTGGAATGAGCTATCATATTCATCAGCTGACTTAGAACCTCTGGAAACTCTGCGGCCATCAGAAATGCAACCGTGTGAGCCATCATTCACGACTCCAGATAGCTGATTCTTTTTAAGTGAATCATCCTGTGAATTATCCTCGTGTCGTTCGGTCGTTGTTTTCGAGTCATTCGCTCCAGATATACCAGATGAAACCCCATCTTTCTGGTGGCGGAGAATTGTACTCGGCGATAACCGACGCAATTTCACCACTGCTTTGTTTTTTCTAATATGTGCTAATTGCAGTAAAGGTACACTACCAAGATCCAGTGATGAAAACGAAACTTCACGACCGGCAAACTTTTTCTTCTTAGATTTATATCGAGAATCTTTCTGCGCCTTAGACTTGCGTTTCTTTAGTAGTGCAGAGGCGGGTAGTACTCGCACCCTGGAACGTGGGCCAATGCCGCGTTTTTGTCTGCATTTCTTTTCCACTACCCACGACAGCGGCTGTAGGTCCACACCACACCCGCTACCGGGTTCACATTCGGGTTCAATAAGTGATTCGATATATTCTAAACTAGTAAATGATTCCAAATCAGGTCCTGGTCTGCGTTCAGAGCCCGCTTCCATCTTGACCTTAATACAAGGTTCTATACTTTGCTCCATCGTACATCCTACACTGGGTTCTAAGCTAGGCCTAATCCTAGAATCCAGTGGACCAAGTTCACCACCGGTTGTGAACAAGTCGCTGCTGATGCCGCAATCTGATGAAGCATAAGAGATGCTAATAGCTTTCTTTTCGCTGAAGACGTTCGAAGAGCTATTAATAATGGATGCTGGAACTCGTAAGCCATTATTAATGATGAAAGCTGAGTCTTTTGTGTTATGATTGATGGCGGAAGCTGGAGCCATTCCATCAGATCTGGAGATGGAGGTAGAGGTTGGATGTGAAGACACATTAGATTCAGAACGGGTGGGGGATGTCAGATAATCGCAAAGCCACCCGGAGGGAGAGATAGACGTTGGTCTTTCAATGTCTTCCGATTTAGCGACGATCTCATGATTAAAGAAGACGTCATTTGGCATTGTGCTCTCAGGACTCCCTGGTTCATTTTTGACTTTTAAAATAGCAGGTGGTCCAGTAATTGTGTTTTCATTATGCCACAAGTCGGGGAGATCTTGGATTGGGCCATTATTTGGTGGTGAGCCAATAACGGCGCCTTCGGTTTTAACAATACAAGTAGGTACTAAAGTGCCAGCTGTTGAATTTGTCAGTGTCTCAGGTAGAGAGTCGTGCGAACTTGTCTCAACTTTGACCTTAAGTAGAGGAAGCTTAAGAGGAACATTTTGTTCCATGAAAGTGGAGGGCTTGACAGCTACGGACGGTTTACAACGTTGAGGATCAAAGGAAGACTCATCACCAGTGTGAACGAATGACGTCTCATTCTTAACGATACCGACGTTAACATCGCGTTGAAGAAACTCACTACTTCCACGAGGGTCAGGAGTGTTGAGATGCTCATTTTGGGCGCTTGAAAGAATACTGGTCTCCAACCCATATCTGAAACTAGGAATTTGACCTTCAATACATTGTAAAGTTTCAGATAGCCCGTTGAGAGGTATCGTATTTTCTGCCAACAAGAGGTCACGTAAGATAAACGTCGAATTTTCCTTAAGATATTGGACTTGCGGAGTCTCAAATGTACGATCTGATGCGCTTTTTTCAGCTATACAGCGTGACGTGATCTTGTGCCCGTCAGACACGCTTTTCATGGTCGAGCATTCAACAGCCATATGACGACGTTCCGAAATCTTATGTTTCTTTGAGTATTTTTGAGAGTTCATGAAAATTTTGCTTTGACTTGAGACAGGTGGGTCGGGGGATAGGACCATCATTGCACTCTTTATACTCGCATCACTTGGAATATTTAAAACGTTACGCATATTTGACGTGCCATGAGAATTTCCAAGGATCTGAACATACTGAGTCTCGCTACGAGATGGGTCTTCGACACGCTGGGTCTTCAAAAGTGTTCCCTTGGACGATGACTTGGTACGTGATCTATGAGCTAAGATCGTAGGACGACAAGACCACAAGGGTGAGATATCACGCTGGCGCTTACACGATGACGGCGAATTTGCAGTCTTTACAGACGATTCAATTTTGTTTGGAACTTTATCAAACACGCCGGGCATTACCGCGGACACAGGAGGAGGGACCGCGGGAGTAACAACTTTCGTCACAATAAGATCCGAAGAAGATCCCGCAAGAGTACCACTCTCCAACAAGTCAAGTAGCGGAAGTGCATCCAAGTTTCCATGCCCAACAAAGTTCTCAGACAGACTTAAAACTGGGATGGAGGAACTGTCAACGCTTTCAAAACTCGACTGGTTAAAAGAAGAGTTTTTCTTTAGTTGGTTTTCGTTCCTAACGTTGCAGTCAGGAAATGTAATTGGGATTTCGATTCCAGTGATTTCTGACATTGAGTTTAAGCTTTCCTCAGCAAGCTCAAAAGCAGAAAGAAGTTGATGGTGATCCATGTTGGCGAAACTGGACAGGTCTACAGAGGATAATGTTGGGGTGCAATCGGGAATGGATATCATAGGCTGGGAGCCCTCATTATCTAACCCTCCAAAACTTTGTCGGAGGGAAGTCGCTGAAAGATTCAGATACGGCGAAGACTTCAAAATGCAAGTTTCAGCAACAGGGTTGGAAATCAACTGAGGAGTGCTGCAGTCAGCTATACTTACCACCGGAATATTATCATCCATATTGCTGCCTCGGCTACTTTTAGTGCGACATTTGCTTCCCTTGGAAACATCTTCTCTGCTCGTGGTGAAGGCATTTCTACACTCGTTAAGGTTACTAACTTCAGTTGGATAATTCTTTTGGCAAGTAGGATTGATTTCACCTTTTAACTCACTAAAATCCTCAACCCTTTTACCTTTGTAACCATTAAATTTATTTGATAGAAAATACGATTTTGTGATACTTTCTTGTGGTAGATTCAATCGATTGGAGTGCGAGGGGCGCATTTCAGAGGTAGTAGTAGAGGGCATCGAGGGAGAGCATGAAGGGAAGGTTGATACAGTTTTTGGAGGCTTAATTCTATTGCGGAGCACATCCAGAGTGTGGAACAAGCGATTTGAAGGCGAAAGGCTAAGCGATAGGCACCGATATTCTCCCTCTTTGTAGCATCTGAACTGGGTTTTTCGTTTTACGGTTGACTTTCCTTTCATGCGAGGCTTATTGACCGAACTTTGAGTGACAGTTGATTTATGATGAGTTAATGACGTAGGGAATACCTTTGAGTCATCTTTATGGGTCAATGAATTAGTTGTGGCTGACGTCTCTCTGGTCAAAGAAGAACAAATGCTAGCTAACGACTTGTTAACCGTTGAAGTATTGGACGCTCCTGACTCTTCTTCTTTCATTAATGAGGGATTAGATGAGATAATTCTTTTGGAAGTCGATACATGATCAGTGATTAGAGTTTCTCCTTCGTCTATAGATAACGGAGCTTCATGATCGTCCGTATCATGGTTCGACAGTTCAGCTACAGCTAACAGTTCTTGTTCGTCAACAGCGAGGGGATCCAGCATGTCCAACACAGTCACCTCGTCATCGCAGGAGTCAGACTTGATTGGTCTACCTCCTTTCTCTGGGTGGTCACGACTTAGACTGTCACAGGATTCGGAAGAACGCGGCTCTCGAAGCACCGCGTTAGACAACAGAGATTCAGCTCCTTTGTCAACATGGAGAGATTCCACCCGTTCATAGTCCAACTGAGCATCGTTTCGTTTAAGTTCAGCCCGCATCACAACGCGCGGTGAAACAGTTTTAGGTTGCAACTCTTTTGGTTCTAAGGAAGTTCCATGAAAATTAACAGGACCATCGTCTTTTTGTTGATCATCTGAATAAACATGTTGAGAACCAATTACAGCTGGCGTCAACGTCCCAGAGTTCTTTGCAGACACTGTCGAAATTTCATCAGGAATTCTTCCTTCTTTTTTTGTGGTATTTTCCATTGCCTTGCATAACCTCTCATTGTTTCTGCTCTCCACGAGCCTTATATCATCAGATCCTTCATGGGGAGCGTCGCAACCCGCTACAGGAAGGTCGGAGTCCCGCGGAGGAGCCGAACTAACAAGAAAACTGCCACAAGGACTTCGTGCATTGGTGAGAGGAAGGCGGGGAGGGAGTTGAGGATTGAGGGGCTCGTTGTGCTGAGGAATGGAGTCAAGAGGAATGTGGGGAACAAGGATATCAGCGCAGGGGATGTTACCGAAGTCGCTCTCACACAATTCCAGATCTGTACAGAAAAATTTTGTTAATTTTTATCAGAGCTTTATTGGTAAACTAAATACATTCCTTGCACTCCATTCATTCATATCTTAATTTCAAAATTTTGCATGGTTGATAATTATATTAAAATATGGTGTTAGATAGTCTTTCTGTTGCACATGAACAGAAAGAGGAAGCTACATCTGCCAAATAAAATTACACGACAAGCAGATTATGGCCATCATAATTAACCAGCCTCCCCAGAGTGCACAGCATAGTTGACCAGCCAACCAAGATTGCAAATTATCATTTATTATTTACCCCAGCTTGTAATTATGCTGTCTAGCAACACTCCAAGCTCAACAGTCACCCTAGCTTGTAATTATGATGTCTAGCAACACTCCAAGCTCAACAGTCACCCTAGCTTGTAATTATGCTGTCTAGTGACACTTCAAGCTCAAGTCACCCTAGCTTGTAATTATGCTCTCTAGCAACACTCCAAGCTCAACAGTCACCCTAGCTTGTAATTATGATGTCTAGCAACACTCCAAGCTCAACAGTCACCCTAGCTTGTAATTATGCTGTCTAGTGACACTTCAAGCTCAAGTCACCCTAGCTTGTAATTATGCTCTCTAGCGACACTTCAAGCTCAAGTCACCCTAGCTTGTAATTATGCTGTCTAGCGACACTTCAAGCTCAAGTCACCCTAGCTTGTAATTATGCCGTCCCAAACATTACGGTATATATGGTACCGGTACAGCATATTTCAAGCATAAAATCTCTCAATGCAAAATCATTCTTGGTGAATTAATTCAACTTTCCCCAAGATATTTCTTGACTTTATCTACATGTTGGTAAAACTGCTGCAGCCTAATTATTTTTTAGTAATGAAAAGCACAAACAATTGCACCTGACACAGTATACTCTGATCAGTTTATGCATTGTATAATTGATAAGCTATCAGATGTGGAAAATTTCAGACACAATGAACATTGATTGAAAATAGCAAGTAAAATAACCATTAATTCAATACAAAAAAAATAAAAGATGATACAAATATACTAGACTCAATGAATTCTGGTCAATAATTGCCAAGCAAATTGAACAAGCATATAATCAATTGAACAAGTAATCACCAGAGTCCAAGTCAAGCTCCTCAGGCTGCAGGGACTCGATCTGAAGCTCCTCTATGTCAGAGCTGCTCTCACAAGCTTCCTCCTCCGGCACTGAGCAACGCTGAACCTCTTCTTCCATCTTCTACAGATCTCTGAAGAATTATTTAGTTACTCTAGACATTGCTTAGAAAAAATGCTTTCATGGATTTAGAAAGCTTGTCAGTTTTTTTTAAATCTAGAAATTCATGCATATAGAGTAAGTAACCACGATGCAAATGATGTTGAAGCAACATTTAGTCAATGCTGATTCAACCAAATAACATTTAATTCAATATTGATTCAATGTACCATAAATTTTTCACACCAAAAAGAATGAATCCAGGAATTTCTTACTCAGCACAAGCAATGCCATATCTCCTTAACTGTTTGAAATTATATCATGAACTATGTACAAAATAATAACACAAATTTCCTAACAGTTTGGCAAATATCATACTGGAATTTATTCAACAGTTCAAAAAATTACAATAGGTTTTAGGAATGCACTTTATATCAATATTGTCCAAGTTTCTCTCCTACTCAAGTGAGAATAGGTCTAATGGCCAGCCATATTGTAATGCAGCTGGCTATTGAATTCAATCATCAATGAAAAAAATTTAGTTATGGAGTGTCCAAGTATCAATATTACCCTATAATGTTTTCAGACATCTTTGTCATATCACAAAATATGCTATGCTTTTCTAATAAATAAAATATGATCAGAATTACAAGTAGGAATGGGCATAAATTCCAATGCACTACCACTTTACTATGCTTAAATACCAATAAACTATGCAATGTTGATTTACATATTGAACTCCCAATTGAAAGGAAACAATCCAAAAGAACTTTAACAAATAATCATAACTAGCAATAAGCTTCACAAGGCAAGGAAATTAATAAAACGAAAATAAAAAACCTGTTAAAAGTGAAATGAATTGGTTGCCATAAAGCATCTCACCAGATTTAAACTTACACTTGAGAGTCACTGGATGATGAAGGGCCTCAGAAGCCTAACTGTTGCACATTCAGTCACCATCAGCACCATGGTTCTGCAAGGATTCCGAACTAGAGATATAGTTCATGTAACATACAAAATTAGTTCCAAACATTAAATAGTGAACTATATATATTGCTTGGCAAATTATTTTTAAAATGAGTTTTGTCTGTGAGAAAGATTTGATATGAAATCAAATAGCAAAAACTGTAGCACAGCTTCAAACAATTATACCATCAAACAGAGTAATGAGGGATGGGTGGGGTAAATCGGGACAGTCCTCTGCCACAGCGTAAAAATGCTATAGCAGCAAAACTAATTGAAATATTGCACAACTAAAAAAAGGGGCATAATCTTCAACATTTGTCCTATCTATGTACTATAAAGGAAGTTAAGAAATCATACATTTACTAGCTCTAAAAAATCCCTGAAAAAATGTTAAAAAGTGATATTTTAAAAATGTACCTACTTCTGTTAGGTCTGTAGTAAAAAAAATATATATTTGCAAATCAATAAATTTCACTTGAAAAAAAGAAAAGAATGTTTTAGTGAAAACCATCATATGTCTTGGATAAATAAATCATAGTTTAGGTCAATTACTTTTCATTCTATGATGCCCAGTGCACAATTCTATAAATGACATTCTATGGACAATTTTGTGATGACCAATGATGTATATACTAATTTTTTGAGAAGTGAAATGTTTTTCGCTGAGCGAGGTAAATGTAATCAAAATTCTTTGTTGTAAATCAATTTTTTTGTTAACTGGAGCCTTTGCTAAGTGAGGTTCTACTGTATATGCGTTTTCAAGGGTGTCCCTTATTACCCGGGGGGGGGGGGTGTCCCTTATTACCTCATCATGCGGAAATAGCTGCCATTTTTGGGGGGAATGAGATAGGCAAATTTGGTCAATCGCGTTTTCAAGCCGACACCTGTGTGCAACTTTTATGTGAGTAAAATTTTTTAATACGGTGAATATTTTTTTTGCTCCAGACCTTAATAGAGGTACTCTTCAATAATCTCACTTGTCACACTTTTTTTTCAGCAATTTTTTAGAGATAGTAAATGTATGATTTCTTAACTAGCTTTATACATAATAGATAGTAAAAATGTTGAAGTTTATGCCACTATTTTTAGTTTTGCAATATTTTGATTAGTTTAGCTGCTACAACATTTCTACAAAATGTGGGACAAGCATCCCGATTTACCCAGCCTGTCCCTTATTACCCTGTTTGATGGTATACAATTATATCAGAAGTGGAGGCATTGACTTGCACAAATACGAATAAACATTAATAAGATACCGAATTCTTTGGAAAGCAATTCGATTCATTACACTTGGTCACTGGTAAACACAGGCACCACTAATTTACTCCCAATGATTTCATTATTGACCAAATTTGTAAGGGATAAAGAAAACATCAATTTGCAAATGAAAAACAGTCAATTTCTTTTACAAGATTTTGTAGAACAGTACCGGTATATTTCCAATGCAAAGCAGAATACATTATAGCTTTAAATTTGCTAACGGGACTTAACCAACAGTAAGGTTGTATAAGTTTGTAGGTCAAAAGAGTCTAGCAGTATATTTTAGGACATGTACACTGGACAAACACAATTTTTTACTGCCATGTTCTTAGAGGAAGGCTGTCATCTCCAATGGGAAGAAGACAGGAGTAAGATGACAACATTTTTATATTGTAAGAGGGAAATTCATCTATCTTCCAAATCATTTGTAATAAGGAATAACAAAATAACAGAATAGAGCCATCTAACAACTGGCATATCACAGTTATTGCCTTGAAAATGCTATACAAGACTTGTTGGCTCCTGTTACAACAACTTTCAAGGCACATTACTCAAATATTACTATGCAGTATCTCTGACCATATGAAGTACTCCCCAGCAAATTGGTATCAGTTAGTTTTTGTTATTTAGTTGCAACTTGAACATCCAGTAGAATACAGTTTACAAATTGACTCAGATGGAGGAACCTTCAAACTTACAAGTCTTTGCAAGCCTTTTAGTGTTATAACTAAAGTTGAGTAAATAGAAACTTTGACATAATTCTGCTGGTCCCGTACTCCAGGAAACCATTTTATTCTAAGGAAGGTCTTGTAGATGAAGACAGCAATTTGAACTGCATGAAAAATGTTCAGTTCCCATTGGATGCCAATATAAGGTTGAGAAGGCTGATGAAACACACAGACTGACAGCTTCCTCAAAGCAAATATACTACCATAAAGCTTGGAAAAATAATTTTAAAAATACATTATAAAATGCTAAATTATGTATTGAAATTATTAACTTTCGTAACCATAGAGGCTAGAGCTTTCCTGCTATTTTTGAAATTAAACTAAAGATTGAAAAATTCTAACTATTTCTAAAGACTTATTCCAAAGTGGCAATTGTCAATAATTATAAAATCTTGCCACTCAATTGTTAACTATTATTCGCTTAGCAATTAGATAAGACTAGGAGATGATTCATCTAGCAAGAATCTTGTGGCTCCAGAAATTGTAGGAAAACTTTAGTCCTGACTCATAAATCAGATACCATCAAATGGGGTAATAAGGGATGGGTGGGGTAAATAGAGACAGGCATCCCACATTTCCATTTCGTAGGAGTGTTGTAGACTCCTGCGTTTGGTATTTTTTATCCGAGACGAGACGAGGCAACAGGCTCTGTCCCGGTTCGCAATAAAAACCGGGACAATTTTCAGCCTCCCATTTGCAAACTATGACACTTTCCTAAAATTTGTCATTTGCATATGTAACTAGAAGAGTTCTACTACAATGCATCAAAACCTGGAGTTATTTAACCAAAAAATGAAAAAATTGGAGGGGGTACTCTGACAGGCTTTAAATAATAACTTTTTTTTGTGGGTCACATTTTAAATTTTTTAACCTATTAGATATGCAAACTTTTCAAATCTTTCTATTGCATTATGTAGCCTCAGTATTACGCCTTTAATGCCCATTGACAAAATTTTTCTATGTCAAATAGTTTTTGAGTTGTGGGGGTTTTTGTTAAAAAAAACGAAAAGTGGTCTAAGTTACCCGCCGGTCTAAGTTACCCCATTTTACGGTACCTTAAAATTTCCCGGAATTTATAGCCATTTTAACGAGATAACGAAGCATAATGAGACGAATTAATTATTGATGTGGTGTAAATTTTGGCTTACCATCATACATTTATACAGAGCTGGGCAGCGCTACTTTGAAATGTAGCGGCCGCTACCGCTACATGCTCTAAATGTAGCGGGCGCTACTGCAACCGCTACAATTGCTTAAATGTAGTGCCGCTACCGAGAATGTAGCGGCCGCTACATGTAGTGCGCTACTGCCCACCTCTGGTAACAACTAACATGTTGACACTAGTAACAGGCTGAGGTTGACAACATTACATCGAAATCTTTTGTACAGTTTTATTCTGTAATTTATATTATGTATGTATCGTGCTGGTTTTAAGTAATATTTAATACCGTCAACCGGGGCTACTCGGGATGGTTTTGAGCATTTTTTTTTAAATAACTTCTTACGATGAAACATTTCATAAACAAGTTTAGGCTCATTTTATAGCTCTTTGCGAGGGCTATTGAATGGCATCTTCAAAAAATTCCATATGCTATTCGTAAGGTGCCAGAAGCAAAAAAAGAGTGTCCCGAGTAGCCCCGTCGAACGGGGCTACTCAGGACACTGGGAATAAAACTTCATTTTAAAATATTTGAAGCATGCAGAGTGTACTCATCCATTACTAACAGTACTCTGAAGTCCTCCTCTTTCATTGTAGACCTTGTAGAGGTAGAATAAATGACATTTTCTGTGACTTTTACTAGTTTTTCCTTCATTGATATGATATTACCATGAACATCAATTACCTTCAACTGGGGTGACTTCCACTGTGTTTTTGATTCATGCTGGGGTCGTAAACGCGGGGTCGTAAACGCCGGGGTCATAAACGCCAGGGTTGTAAACCAGGTCATAAACGCCTGAGTGACTTTGGCCACTGTTTATGACCGTTTATTACCCCACTTTGGCCATCATTATGAACAGGGCCCAATCACCCAGTTGCTGTCTCTTATACACATCTAGATGTGTATAAGAGACAGACCATAGGTACCTATATAACATATTTTATGTTTGATACACCTATTAATGTTTTTTTCTTCATGTTTCATACTCTACAGAGT